GCTGCCAAACTTTTATTGCTCTCCGTACTCATATGTTATGCTTCAAAGAGTGACAGGAGGTACAAATTTGACACCTTAACTTTGAACACCTATATCTCCTTCACAAAAAATCGAAATCACACAAACTCTTCATCCAAATTATACCTGAAATCTTGAAATTGTTGATCCTAGCCTCCAAAGCTAGAATGACCTCGAAATAAAAACCTTAATTCCTAATAAGGCCTCGGGCAGCCTCCTTGAAGTCCATTGGGTATGGCCTTTGATCAATAGGAATGAAGATCTCCATTCCTTACCTTCATCCAACCATGCCTTACTTTCATCCTTCTTAATAAGCCTCCTAATAGTTTACGCTTTCATTTTAAACTCCAACCTTCTCTTAAGCTTTATACTAAATATCTAAATCTTACATAATATAAAGACTATAATCAAAATAGATAAATTTCCAAATAAATTTTCTTATATCAATTCTCTTTAAATTTATTTATTGACTATTCTAATCTACATCAAGACTTAAAAATATATTATATGTCTTAATTAATTTTTACATATTATAAGCAATTATAGTACAGCTTTGGATGTTTTTCATTATTGACATCCATCAAAATCAAGATGAAGAATAAAAATCTTTGCTATTAAAGAAACAAGTTCCAAAAAATATTATATTTTATCTTCTATTTTTATTTGTGATTTCTGTATATTTGTGATATTAAGAAAATAGAGAACCGACAATTACCAGATTTGACTCAATAGCCTTTGTGTGCTAACTTGTCAAACGAGACATTACTATTTTTACAACCTTCAAGATGATGCAAGCAAGATGAAGATCCTCAAGAACAACATTTTTTTTTGAATAAATGGCAAGATACAATGCCTTTGGTATTACGACCTTGGAAAGAACTTCCAATGTTTGGTAATTTTATTAGAGGTAGAAACAACTTTTAACGGTGTTTCAAATATTTTATTTGAAAGAAGTTATGAAGGCCTCAACAATGATCAAATAATTGGATAGTCTTTCTGCCTTGGTATGAGACACTATCGATGGTTGAGAGGTCCTATCAACCACCTTTGAAAAAAAACAAAGATTAGAGTATGTAGAAAATATAATTTGCTACATCTTAGATTTTTTCAACATATGATGACCGCTCTCCATGGAATTTGTCTCGAGAATGGGAGATAATGTCATAAACATATATATGTAAACTAATAATTACCTATCTGATTAGATAAAAGAATGTAAAAGTAGATTAATTCTATAATATCTTCTATAGAAGCTTCTTAAAAGCTTCATAGATGCTCTTTTGACTTAATAAGTATCTATAATTGGCTTTTTAGGTTAGAAATATGGTCAACAAGTTGGCCATGTACCATACATATTGGTAGCATAAAGAACAATTTAACTATGTGGCCCACACATAGAAAATTTGCCTTGTAAGTTACAACATGTGTCTTGTAAAGTCCACACATATTAGAGATCCTATAGAATATTGCCATGTAACTTCTAATTGGATAGTATATATAGAGACAAGAGTAAAGCCCTCTTTACTTTTGTTAACACTTTTCTTGCTTCTATTCTAGATATAAGGGTCTGTAGTTTTCTTGTCTTTTGGCAATAGCCATTCTAGTTTTTTATTAATGTACATACTACTTTATTGTAATTTTGACACTTTTCTTTAAAAACAAATTTTGCAAGTTAATACATCTTCTTCCAATTCAAGTCTTTGACAAAACTTCATGATAAAAAATAAACAAAATGTAATTACATTTTTATAGGATACAACTTGATTTATCTATATTTTTCAACCTAAGCTAGTTAATACATCCCTTAAATCTCATGAAGTTTTGAAGATGTTCTCCTTTACTTACTTGAGTCGATTTTGAGATTTTATTATTGATAGATGTGTCAACAAATATTAAAGTTGACACAAATGGCGCCATTGTGTCAACTCTCAAGTTATAATTTACTAATGGTTGAACTTTTGGCACATGTCTTTCACTAATTGACGCTTGATTGACCTTGCTAAATTTGTTATTTACAAATCTTATAAAAGCTATTAATAATAGATAGATCAAGCTATCAACTAGAGACAAAATTATAACATAGAATAAGAAAAACTCTACTATCTTAGTTAAGAAAATTGTAACAAAATTACTTAATACTTACATAAGGGACAAGAGTAATAACAATACAATTGATTGAATATTTATTACTTGAACCACTTATATCCAGATGATTGAAGATAGGACTGAAAATTTCACCTTATTTTATTAAACCATATTTTTGAAAATAAAATTTGACATATTTTGTATATACATAGATAAATATTAGGGAGGCTATTAATATTTATTGATTTACTTAGCTCTCATTCATCTAATATATTTGTATGAGTACACTCCCAAATTAGTTGGTATAGCTCAATACTTAAATATGTATAATTGAGCTTATCAAATAAATATTATTGTTCCATCATTTTATTGTCACTTTAAAATATTCATCATAAACTAATAAATGTATTATCTAAATGATTGTATTATTGATCCAACAACTTAAAAAGCCACACTGATTTAAAGACTTCTTTTATTTTATTTTATTTTAAATCTTAAAAAAATTGAGATAATTATATTAATAGCTTTATCTTAAGAAATATAAAATATTCTAATAGCCAAGTCTTCAACTCTTAATATTAAATTATGAAAAAATATCTTCAATAGAAAAAAAATATAATAACTATAATTATAATTGAAATCTCATTTTAAATCTCTTTTGCTAATGTTGTTTGGTTTTCTTTGTGATTAATAAAGATGACCTTATTTGAACTACCCTTGTCTTCTTTGTAGTTATATAGCTCTAAGCTAGATAAACAAGAACTATTGATGTTTTTATTCATATATTTATTTTATGTAAATCCTAAAGATTGTGAATTGGCATCAAAATTATTTTTTCTATTACTTCACTTTTGATACAAGACAAACTCCTCTAATAAAGATGAATATACAAAAATAGTCACTTAGAAAATAAGTTACATAAGGATCAAAAGTATTATCAAACATGTAGAATAGCATAAAGAAACAAGATTTTACAACCTCCATTCAAATAAAATTCTCAAAAACTACAAAATAAATAAATCTCAAAATATATCCATGACTTTGTAACAAAGAGGATCAAGGGGTAAGTCATCCATCACTACTCACTTATCAATGAATACCATTCACCACACCAAATCCTGTAGCCTCACACAAAAGTGTATTTATTCAGTGTGTTATATCCAATTAGCATCTTATTAAAGCACAGATGATTGTTAATTTCATATTCTACAATGCATAATCTCACACAGGGGCCATCTAAGAGCTTCAACGCTAGACCAAAGAGCAGGCATAACCTACAATTGCAATCCAAATATAACGCTAATCCCAAATCTTTCCGACTGTCCAGCACACCAAAACTGTAGATTAGCTCGCAGATCCCATAATCATTGCTGAAGACCAGAAGGACTTCAAGTTACATAGTACAGCTCGAACCTCATGTGAAATATTGTCTTTGAATAAAACCAAAGACTGCAGCAAAGTAAAGATATACTATTCCACGGGTGATGGCACTTGGACCCAACCGGCTTCCCATATGCCGGATCCAACACCCTACAGTCTGACGTGGACCTTTTGATACAACACCGTTGCGAAAAAAAAAAAAAAAAAAAAAAACAATAACTCCAACTCATACTTTGCCATCAATATTGCCTGTATTATCCTTACACGTGTAATATTTATTTTATTTTATTTTATTTTATTCATCATGTATATTTACATATAGATAGTAGTTTAGAAATTCCCAGAGGTATGTATACAAAGAGTACGTAGTATAGTAAAAAACTGTAAGAAACATATTCAAATTAACCATTGCTTGACATTTCATTATTTTACTCAAAATTGTGAAGTACACATGGTTATGACAGCTGCAGAGCATGCTTAAGAATATATAAATTCAAAGTGTGTCTAATAATGACATTTGCATCTCGTAAGTTTGAAACCTCGTTCAAAAGAATGTGAAGCTATATGTATAAATTCCAGCATTGAGTTAAAAGCCGAAGTGGAAAAAATGAAACACTATGAATTAACATTAGATGTATTTGTACTTGAAATCCTTTCCAATGTCCCAAATGTGAATTCCACAGTCAAGTCAACAGTGGATGAAGCTCAGGTGGGTTCAATCTGTGAAAAACTTAAGATTTCTAGTTATCGAAAGGGACGTCAAAGAGATTCTTCAAACCTGAGTATTATTGAAAAAACTAGCATCAAACTCCAAAACAGTACCAACCTGAAACCCTAATCCAGACCCAGCCCTAACACTTTCGACTGCCTACTGGGACAAGAAGCAGAGATTATCTCTATACCTCGACGATCCCATAATCATTGCTGAAGTCCAGAGGGACTTCAAGTTACATAATACAGCTCGGATCTCTTGAGATATCATGTCTTTGAATAAACCCAAAGACTGCAGCAAAGTAAAGATATACTATTCCACGGGTGATGACACTTGGACCCAACCGGCTTCCCATATGCCGGATCTAACACCCTACAGTCTGACGTGGATTTATACTGATGAGTAGTCGGAGCACTTGCGGATGTGCTTATCTGATGAAAAATGTCAGTTTGCCCAAGCGCCCGCTATGTACGAGTTGTAAATCTCCCGAGGCGAGTGTTTTGAAAATCGATGTGTAAGCCAAACAAGTAGGCCGACTGTATCTTTCCGTCGAGGGAGCTGGAGTACCTAAAATGAGACTGTAGCAAGTTTCTACAGTAGATACAGGATCATCCTCTGCTATTCAGGGTCATGTCAGCAAACCTTCTAGCATGTTGTCGCAAAGTTACATTGCAACCAATGTTAATCTTAATTTGTTCTGTTTACGTTTGAATTATGCGTGATCTTCATTCATGTGCGTCTGTTCATAATTGTTGGTATTGTGATTGGTTCCCTGGTTGTAATATGAATTGTGTAGCATTAAAAGTTTCACGAATGAATGATTATCTTTGTGTAAGAATAAAAAAAAACATTTGATTGAACTGCAACACATGTGTAAACGATTATGGGAGTTTCTTCAGTCCACAATCCATTCCGGCATTCAAGAGCCGAAGACATCAGTGTGCAGTGTTGTAGGATCTACGAAGGATGGGCCGCAAGGGTGTATCAATCATGATCTCTTATTGCTCAACTCATGATTTTCTTCACTTCACAAGCAGTTACGAAAATTCCCAGCGTTCACCCGTGCTTGTGCTTCCGCTTGATGCTGTTCCCAGAGACGCCGTATTCGACAGTGAATTGCAAGGATAAAACGGTTCCAATCAGCAGAGCTGGCACCGATCGTGACCCCAAAGTCAAAGCACATACTTGTGGATCAGTACCAATTTGTTGCAGTACCTCGCTAGTTTTCACCATGTATGGTTGCAGCTTCCTTATCACTTCCAGAGCTGATGTGAACTCGACGATGCCTTCGACGTTTCACGTGAGGAGATGATAGGATCAGCAGAGGTATGTAAGACAAGTTGTGACGATCGACACATTGCTAGAGACCTAGAAATTGGCCGCACTGTCGTCCAGTTGTGATTCGTCTTCAATCTGCACCTCAACTATTTCCTGCATCGTGGAAAAACGACCAATTCTAAACGATGAGATTCCTGGCCGTTGCAGTCGGACCTCAGCGAAACAACTGGGGGGCTAAGACCAGAAGTTGGTGGAGCTCTAAAATATGTCCGATACAAAAGAGGTAATTATGGGTGTAAAAAAAGCTTACAGGAATTCGTTTCTGCAAATAATTGGCAACGCGAGCAAGAACCATCGAACGCGTGTGCCAGAAGCGTCCTGAAAGACGGAGTGTAACAAACGGGCCATCTATCTCCGCCAATTGAACGACGCCTACACGATCCAAAAATGAACAAAATTCAGCAATTCGAAGCATCTTGTGATGCCTACGAGACTAAACAACTCAGACAAAAGACAGACCCGAGACACACTCTAGAATTCCATGTTACTCTGCTTTCTCCAAACGTCAACCCGAACAGAAAAACCAACACCGCAAGGTCTAGCATAGAGTTCCGAACAAAATAAAAAGAGATCATTAGTCGAAGAAAAGGGAGGATGAGGAGTCCTGCATACAAAAAACGAATCCTCACAAACAGCGTTGAGAAAGAATAGACATGCATACCTGTGATGCCAACTTTTAGGTCAAACAGCTGCAACAACTGTGACACCAAAAAAAATAAATACCAAAATTAAGGCAAATAAAACCATTCCTTGAAATTTGCATTCCCTTCTCTAAATTGTTGGATATGGCTTCTCGGCTTGTAAAATATGTTTCATAAAATCAGAATTTAGAATTTTATTTAAAAAATACTAATTCTGTAAAATTTAATGTAATCTAATTAGTACGTAAAGGAAAAGTTCTTCTTATTTATTTTTGTGCAGTGTTGATGTTTTAATTTTACAGTAAAAAGCAAATAATTTATTTAAAATTAAAATATTGGTATATATATTTTTGGTTGTTTTTAAGTATGCATATTACATAAATTAACTTTCTATCGTATCTGTCTTTGAATTTGAGTGGAAATTTTATATTTGAAAGTTTTGACTCAATGTGAATTTATTTTTTGCATGTTAATTTTAATAAGATATATTTAAGACTAACATGCAGAAATTTGATCATGTTAGGTGTAAGAATTTAAATTAATGTATGATTTATGTTTTCAGTTATTCATTTTTTATATAAACCATTCATAGTCAACTATATTTGTATGATATTTCTTAGAAAAATGAAGGTAAACTTCATGTGTTTTGAAATTTTCAAATATTCAAAGTTTTAAAAATGCTTCTTTAAGAGTCTTAAAATTACATATGTGAATTATGGAAAATATTACCTTTAAAGTAATAATTGTAGTTGTATTAGTTTAATTTATATGTAATTGAGAAATAAAATATTTTTTTATTGAGTTTTTTTTTTTCGGTAAGTCTTGATCAATATTGTTAAAAATCAAAATACTTTTACATTGTTTGATTTATTATTATTATTATTATTATTTTATTAAATAAGTTTTTATACTAAGAGAGCAAGCTATAACTTATCTTGAGGCTACTCTTGACATAGCTGGTAGAATTTGCTCGATGTCTGGTTAGACAAATCAATGTGCTTTAAAATTTGCATCAATATCTTGGATGGGCGTTTTACTAACATCAATGTTAAAGAATTCACCATCTATACTCTAATTTTGTCAATAATTATAATCAGAATAACTTCACAACCAATAAATTTGGATGGGAGAGCACTGAAGGTCAGCCACGCTTAAGGCTCCAATTGGTTAATTAGTCCAGGAGTGCCATGTCATTCACGTCATCCATCCTTAGGTGGATGACTGGGTGTGACAGCAGAGGATCTTCGTCCATCCATTGGTCTGGTCCACCTCAGACGACCTTTCAGTTAGGTGAAGCTTAGGTGGCAGCCAGCCGTCACGCAACAGACCCAGTTTTCCCTCTTGGCTGAAAGCACAACCCAACCAGAACACTCAACCTCTGGTCCAGCAATTCCATAGGGCCGCACACCCTTTTGTCCAGCTTGGCCAAATTCGAACTAGAGCTCTTCTTATCCTCTCCAGACCCCCCGGCCACTTCTCATTGTCCATGTGGACCCTCGTTTTGCGACAATGGTGGGTTGAGTTAGAATTTCGGGTGGCGGGCAAAGCGGGACAACTCTAAGGCCGAAATCCCATTGGTTTTGTGGAATGGATACGTCATCACATGAAATTCTTGGGTCTACCAGGATTTGGTTTCATGGCTGAGGTGCCAGAACTGTGCAATTAATTGAACACGCAACGCCTGTCTTGATCCCGAACGACATCGTTGCTAGATTTTCCGGGATCGTTAACACTATCAGAGTTGTTTTAGGCGTGGAATTAATCGCGTTTGGAGCGCTGCGAGCGGTGTTTGATGCAAGGGGATTATTGCGGTGCAGTGTCGTGGTAACCAAGTCGATTGACTGGTTACACAGGGGGTCACAAGCTTTTCCCGGTGTTTACAGCCCTGACACGTCGGAGTGGGTACCTTCCGAAGTTTCTGTTGCATTGGATGCTTTCATTAGGCTTTCGAGAGTATCTTTGACTATGACGAGATTCCGGTGATAACCGTGCTGCAGCCATGAGACCACGTGTGCTGGCCCTAGGGGATAGTGGGTTTCTATGGCCACATTCGTTTCTATACGCAGGTGAACGCAGCAAAGCGGAGTGGAAAATGGTTTGGTCTGAAGGCCACGGCGAAGATTCCAAGCTCATTGATTGAGGTGTCATACGGTTACGTCTTAATAGATGTTTGCATGGGACTCAACGCTATCGGCTTGCTTTTATGATAATCGAGAAAGTCCAAGCCATGGAAGCCGCTGTATATGCTTTGAAAGCAGACCACAACGGAGGAGTGAAGAGATGTGATTGCGCAGGACCTCCAAAAACTCCACAGTCGAGATAAAATGGATTGTATCAAAAGCACCGGAAGTATATCATTCATAGGTAACACAAGTAAGAATCGAGCTGAATGGCTCAGCGTTTTTTCTCCCGAATTCCATCACAGTGGAATTACGTTACCGGGCGTGGGCTACGAAACGGGAAAAGCTTTTACGTAGAGGCAATTAAGATTCTTTGAATTGGGATTTGGATGCGCAGCTCTACTGTTTTACCCAAACTTCTGGTTTTTTCTGTTCCAAGGAGCTAGCAAGCCTGCCCCCCGAAAAAACAGATCCTTCTGGGCTCAAGTTAATCCCTTCCCAGGAGAGCATCTTGCCTTTGGGCCCCCACGCACCATCCCAGCTGTCTCGTCCCCCTCGATCGAGCCATTCATTCTGCCATAAATTTGAATTGATTAACTTAATTTTCAACAGAATGAGACTCGTATTCCCTAACATGCTGTAGATCATCAGTTGCGACAGTTTTTCATTTCTGCTCCTGTTGGGATTCTGGATTGTTTACACCCACCTAAGTGAAGGAACTATCCCAAAGCTCTAGCAAATTGATTTGTTTCTTCTCGTTCGTGTTTTAGCTTGAGCGTGTGGTTCTACGAAAGATCTGTTTTGTAAGGGATAGGACACCATCTGTGAAGCTCTAGGTACATCGGTAGTTTGAGAATTTTCTTTGGACTGATTTGCAGTCAAATAGTACCGGCAACTGATATCATGTGGTCATTCCCCAAACAAACCTGTTGATGTATTCTGAAGATCCAGGGAAGAGTTGGACTCGTGCTCGATTATCAAATTTGTTGCTCTTATCACTCGCGGCGCTAATCGATCAAAGCCTCTTCGCTTTTGACTTATTTTGTCCAACACACAATAGCTTCGAAAACTTTTATGAGGTCAATGATCACGAGGATCGTCTTCCTACGCGATGATACCTACCAGTCGCTAACCACTTGGCTGACACGCTGAACCCGACTCTCAGATGCTGATGTTTGCTGATGTTTGAAACCGTGTCTACGCATACGAGACTACTAGATTAGAGACCAACAGGACCCAAGAATCACTTGTCCTGTCAACCCCCAGAGGTGGAGGACAGCTCGGAGTTTTGCAGTGTCAGTGTCAGTGAGGGGAAATACCCCAGCTATAGTTTAATACTATTTGGAGAGAATAATTACCCCAGCACCTTCAGTTCTGGTGGGCAGTTTTGTGGTCTGCCATAGTGAAAACCGAGTCTGCTTGAAACGAGATTACTTTGCATATCCCAGGGAATATCCTCCGTGAATAGTCGGAGATCGTCTTTCCCTCTCTTTATCACCTCTTTCATTAGTCGTTTCCTTTCACCAGCATCAGGAGCCGCAACTGTCGTTGTCGTCAAGTCGTCGTTACGATAACTCTCTCCCGCTCTCTCTCTCTCTCTCGCTCTGCTTGCATTTGAGCATCGCGACGCTCTCGATCGAGTATCACTTTTCAGTGTGAGGGCCTGCTCCTTGCCTATTTTACTGCGAACGATCCGTGTCCGTCTGTACTCACTGTGTACTCAAGGTGTATTCGATGCGGTTATTGGGAGAGGGATGTTTTTAGTTAGAGTGATGTACTGGTTGGAGAAAAACGAGCTCAGGAATCGTGGTGGTGGTTTGAAGTCGTAGGTGTACAATTTCTAACTGGGATTCGGATCGTGCAGGCAAGGAGCTATGGAGATCGTCGAAACGAAGGTGATTCCGGACGAGGAAGTGGGACTTTTGCAGCGTAATGTGGAGGTAATGTCTCTCCTCTTTCAACCCAATAGCTCGATTTCTAATGGAAGTATGGCAATCATTCAGCAACTGTCAATCCCCACCTTGAATACCAACACCTTTCGCTTGAGATTGAGAGGAGGAGAATTTGTAAAAATTACCGCTTCGGTGCTGAGTCAGGTCTAACGAAGCAACTGTCGTGTTCTGTTTCGATTAACTCTTGCTTTCTATCAGAGTAGAAGATCGTATATTTCAGAGGTAGTTTTTATTCAAAGCAGGGAGGATACCGAGGTTGTATAAATCAAATTGTATTGTTCAACGCAGGAAGTGGTAGAAATACACGCCTGGAGATCGCTGAGGTATGTAGCTATTACCGTCGTAGCTGTGCTCATCGGAACAATCTTTGGATGCGCGGTCTCCTTATACCTTTCTGGAGCTTATGATTTCGAGACATTCGCTCTGGAGGCTACTGTCGCCCGACCGAAGCATCCACTGAATTTTTTGGCGGTGGGAGATTGGGGCCGGGAAGGTACATTTAATCAGACCATGGTTGCGAAGCAGGTAAACAAAACTTTGTGATTGCAATGCTAATTGGGGTCGCAATCTTATAATCCACTCAGTTTCTAGAAGAATTGCGAGTTCTCTTCGATACTTGGGGAGACCTGGATGTATTTGTTGTAATGAAATTCATGCACTAAAGCTGGCACAGCAAATTAACACAAACTAGATCACTTTTCAACCATTACAGTAGAGAATTATTGGTGAGATCTGGTCCCTCGTGAATTTAGTGCAGGGTTCTTCCATTACTCTTTCATGTAATGTGGTTCCACTAGCCTATTCTTTCATGAATCTGTATTAGTTTCTTTTTTGGCTTTCTTGCACATTTGAGCACATTTTCTTCACCACAGATTAGTATTCTCGACAGCTTGAAGGTTCAAGAGGGATTAATTTGTTTTCGACATGGTGTGAAGATGGGTCGTGTAGGACGGCAGCTGAGGATCAATTTCGTGGTCTCGGTGGGTGACAATTTCTACCAGGCTGGTTTGAAAGGCCCGCACGACACGAAATTCAAGAACTCTTTCTCGAAGGTTTACACTGCACGAAGTTTGCAAACGCAGTGGTTTGCTGGTACAACTTTTCTCCTCACATGACTGGATTTTTCTTTAATTGAGACAATTGGGTTACACTTCATTCACAGTATGCTCACTTATTTTTCCAATTTAGCCGTACAAAGATTTATGCTTTAATTTACTCGTTTAATCTTCCTGGTAATGCAGTGTTGGGAAATCACGACTACTTAGGTGATACATTATTGCAAATCGGGGACATCCTTACCCAAAAAGACAGTCGATGGTTTTGTGACCGGTCTTATCAAATCAAATACTTTCTGTGTGGTACTTCTCACATAGGTAAATCTTGAAAACACATATTTTTGGTTCATTTTTGCTCATGCGTTACAAATTGCTTATTCTAATCACATACATATCCGTTCACCTTGAAGGTATCCTGCCCCTTGTCGTGTCTCGGTCATGGATTTTTCAAGGGAAAATCCGTGGGGTTCATTTCTCGGGATGCAATGTTGCACAGCAGCAAATTTTCTTCGAGAGCGGCATTGGTGGTGTTCTATGATTATGATTGTAACATGCTGGCAAGTTTCAATGTTCCGTGAAATTTTCGCACAGAAAGAAACCCTGATATAGAAGTACCCATTAAAATGATTTCGCAGGGTACTGTTCGAAGTTCGTGGAATTGTTCTTCATAGATACAACGCCTTTTGTAAACGATTACTGGAGTGCAGCACAACAAAGGACATTCGATTGGAGAGGAATTGATCTTCGAGAAGAGTATCTGCATGAACAACTTCAGGCACGCCTTTCCCTCTTTCCAGTTCATAAAATTTGATCTCAAAGTAAGTAAATGGCAGCCTCTAGTTAAATATCCTGTGGCCTGGGTCGCGATGTCCGAGGCTTGAACCTCTGGTTATTGAGGTGAATCAACTTCACAAATGAACTTCACAGATTTCTTCGGGATAACACAGGGCCAGATGGTTACTACATGTTGAGCTTCGGGAAGGATTTACGAACCCGAGTGAAACCTATTATTGAATCTCGGTTTTTGTCTTTCAGAATTTGAACTCGACCTTAGAATCCTCGAAAGCGATATGGAAGATTGTCATAGGACACCATACGATACGCAGTCTTGGTCGCCACGGTGATACTCAGGAGATGGTTAAGCACGTACTACCAATCCTGGAGGTCTGACATTTCATCTTCCATCCCTCTCTCATCTTACACACTGGACTTTAGAGGTCAGCCCATTTCTTGCTCGAATGGCAATGTTAATTCTCACCTTAAAACCCCTCGACGTCTGCCAGAAGCATGTTGGCCGTCTTGAACCCAATTGACTAATTCTTCTTGTTTTCAAATTTCTGCAGAAGCAAAATGTTGACGTGTACCTAAATGGCCATGATCACTGCCTTCAGCATATTAAACGAGAGGACAGTAATGTTCACTTTGTCACGAGTGGAGCCGGATCCAAGTCTTTTCAGGGCCTCCACGAAGGGCAACCTGAAGATGGGCTTCAGTTCGGTTATGACGGACAAGGTTTTGTGTCTGTGTCCATGGGTGCCCATGACCTCCGGATTGATTTCCATGATGCTCTTGGGCAAAACCTTTACCAGCTTGACCTTCATAAATGAGCACCACTCGGTATATTCCGCTGTAAAATAGTCGTTAAGAACAATAGTCACAGATACACACTACTCCATACCTGCTCATTCAACAATATGATTAGGTTCCGAGGATTTTAAGGGTTGTAATTTTTCAAGGTAGAGGTATGTAATCAGGTTCTTAAATTTGATTAAATTAGATTAAATTTGCTAGGATTGCTCTAGAGCAGCGATGCTCATGCACCGAACACTAATTGACTACAATAACCTACTTTTGGAATTTTGAGTTCATTCTGTTCCGACAGTAATGTACACTACACGGAATTATTTTCTGCCAATTGAATTAATTACTACACGTTATCTAAATTTCGCCCACGAAAACCCTAAAAAATGTCTCGCATTGAGAAAATTTTCAATGCTCTTCTTTCCTGTTCAAAATACGAGTGTTTCACCATTATATTTGTTATTTCCACATATCGACGCAGTTAGCTTGGAAGCGCAATCTGCTCTGAGTGTTATTGCGATCTTCTAGCAGAGAAACTCTACTTGTGGTTCTGACATCAATTGGCGCTTAATATCATGGAATTGGTAGTAGATTCAGCTGCTATAGTCTATTGTGAGCAAGGAAGATTTAATCTTTAAAAAGTGGAGGGCATGTACATGTGTGTGCTGCTGAAGGGACGCCTTTCTCAGCCTACTGGCTAAGAGAAACTGCAGTATCTGCTTTTGTAAACAACTGATCAACTCTTATGAAACTGACCAAATTTTTCGGAGGTGCCGGTCTCGTCGAAGTTAGCTGCTGGGACCCGCGCAGCTTAGTAACACACAACCTCCTCGATTATCGTAGCATTCCTGGGTTCCCCGACCAGACGATGCAACACAAATTTCAGTTTGCAATTTACTTACATGCGCACTGGGATCACGTTGATCACAACATGGTGATGCACAGTAACCTTGAAACAGATACTGAAATTGATCAAGCATCTGGTCCCGGGACGACATTAGCTATTAACGATGTATATGGTGACTAGATCTTCTCCTCTGTGGTTCAGTGACCGGTGGTCTTCTTATGCATGTGGGCACAGCAGCGGAAGCACCCAATAACAGGAAATCACTTTCCTTCCCCATATTATCCACAAACAGAACTTCAGATGTGTTTCTGATTTCAGAACAGTCAGCCCATTCCGCCAGAAGCTCACGGGCTTGCAGTCGACACTGCAGGATTTGATCGATACCCTAGGAACCCACATCGTCTTGAATCCAGAGATGCACAGATCCTCAATCAATCCACGGGCTGAGCCGACAAACCCACATGATAGCTGCTCCCCTTGTGGGGTCTGCTCTCATCCGTAACAGACGCAAGTCAACAAACGACGTCAGGAAGGGAAATAATGCTGCTCCAGAGTTCAACCAGACTAGTCATGGACTGCGACCGAGGAAGAGAAGGACAAACAAATAGGGCAGGCAGGGTTCTCTTCTAGTACAACCATCCTCAAGCACTCCTAAGATATGACAAAACCTTGCGCTGAAGTCCTTTACATGCAGCTATCATCTGCAGCTATCGAGTCGGCGACAAACCGCAAGAACTTTTGGAAAGCACGTCGCTGTCAATTTGTCGACCAGTACACACTCCATTACACCGGAACTGATGGTTGCGAAACCCACGGAACTATTCTAGATTTTTGAATCCACTACGGAGGTGCATTTATTATCCTTGCTTGAATTCGACTGTACTTGGTCAATACTGGAATGGTTGCTTGAGATAGTTTCTTTAGATTTTGCTGGAAGTAGTGAATGTATCATTTCAATGGAAGCATCTATGGGTAAAGGCTTGCTGTTAGGAAAAATAGGAACGTGACCTGTTCAATTTTAAAAGAACAAACGTGTGTTTTAGATTTGAAGAAAGCTCAAATTGTGATAATTTAGTGAGATTTTTTTTGTGATATTGTTTAATCTGGACACATCCAATTGTGGGTGTCACACTACTGTTTGGAGAAAAAGGTTTGGAGAACATGCTGGAGCCTATTAAACCACACTGTATGAATATAGTTTTGATGCTGCAGAAATAGTTTACACCTCTAAATAGGCATCTTCAATAGAATTTGTAAGAGGAGATGGACCCCTATTGCTTACAACCCACCCATGATGTCAACACTTTTTATTTTCTCATAATTAAGCACATCTTTCTTCGATGTCCTTAGCAAGGGGCAATCTTTAGTGAATTCAAAGTTGGTATTCTCCTATTCGCTTCTCCATTCTCCAAGCTATCTTTTCAATCAGACTCCTTCTAATATGAATGTGCGCGTCTTAAGTTTTTATATGTGATTTTATTCTTATAAATTTTATTATACGTTTTATTTAAAAGAAGAAAAAATGTTGCTACAAAGAGAAGGATAATTGTAGGGAACGCACCTGTTCAAGAGTTTCATAACCTATTTGATCTTGTAACCTATTTTATTCTTCGATCTCGTAAGTTGTGTTTACCCATTCCATTGATATTTTCATAAACAGTGGCTGCTTGTCAGTCAGGTGAAATGAGCACTGACATATCAATAGGCAGCAATGCATTGAAGGATTCTATTTCGCAATTGTCTCATCTGCCTTTTCCTTACTCTGCAAGTCAGTTCCATCCCATGCTCATGCATGGTTGAAAGTTGTCCATAACCTATTTGCAATGCATGTGAAAGAGCTCTATTCACTTCATTTCAGAAACTCAATCTCTGACCCAATTCCTCAAACTTCAAAACATCATGAAGATGTTCACCCCTAAATAAACAAGTATAAATCAAAAGAATCCATACTCCTCCACCCTTATATCTGTTTCTAATATAATAATTAAAACAGAATGTAAAATTATTGTGTAAAAATCTTGTGTTGCATGGTTCTCCATGAATTCTGAGCTTCATTTTATTTTATTTTATTTTATTTTTTTTTATATCCAAGATAAGATTGGTAAAATGAATCACTTGATTATAACATCTCTGTTTCTGTGAACATTGATAGACACATTATAAAACTCATTTTGAGAAACTTTGAAAAAATCACAGCTTTCTACAGTTTTGTACATGTGAATGGAAGGTATTTTATGTAAATTTGAAGATAATGTGGATTTTTGGACATTTTTAGAAATATGATATGAAATGCCAATTGTTGCATATCCGTTTCATCTTGAAACAATTGTGTACAAGTTCTATCCATATCATACCTTGATACTTTACTAATAACCTAATAATTGTGGAATTGTAACCTTTTCTTTTTAACTACAAACCATGGTTTCTGGAATAACACTAAAATATGAAATCCAGAATACACTAAAGTTTCATCTCAAATGAAACTTATTCTATTAATGATACTTCCTTAGTGATACTTTTGTGTCATAAGCTGTTCATTTTATAATTTTTCCACCATGTATATATGCATGCATGCATATGTACATAGACAGATAGACACCATTCCAAATATACCAGCTCAACAAAGGATAGTTTCCTAGCAGAAAGGAAAATGGTCACTATAGTTCTTTCTTTCATTAAAGAGTTGACATTTGTGATTACTTTTTTGACATTTTGATTTCCTGATTATATTATGCAAATGTTTCAAAGACAATGCAGCTTTTGTTGTCCTGTTTCAGAATTCATAGAGCTTTTGTTGTGTCCTTTCAAATTAATTGTTGATTTTAAAATTCAGAGTTTGAACAGGGTAATTTAGTTATGGGAACACACATACATATGAACATAACATTGTTGTTGATAAGTTAAAATACAATAAACTATTTTTTTTTCTACATAGAATAAACAATCTTGGTTACCAATGACATCCACTATTTGAACTAACTGCAATGTTGACATAACTTAATGTAATTTTATTTGCTTTAGAATTTAGTTATAATTAAAATTTAGATTAGTAATTTTGTAATGATATGCATATAGATTATGCTTTTGTAAAATATATATATATATATATATATATATATATATATATGTACATTAATAGTATAAAAAATCTTAAACCAAAGACATTCTTAGTTTTATGCCAATGGCTAAAGAATTTTTAGGTACATTTGATGTAATTTTAATTTTAAAATCAATAAATTAAAATATCAATACAAATAATAGCTACTTTTAGGGCAAAAATATTTCAGTAGTGTTAATAGCACCAATCATATTAAGAATAAATACAAGGTATTAGCAATTAAGATGTTTATTTTAATTTTCTATTAAGATAAAATTATATGTATAAAATTTTATTAATTATTATTTAAAAATTTAAAGATTATAAAATAAATAATTATGCTTATTAAAATAAAATTTTAAAATATAATAATATGATAAATATTTTTATAAAATAATTACAAAATTTTCTATAGAGATCTATATGAAAATAAAATATTTTTTTATTTAATTATAATAGATATAAAAATTGAAGATTAAAAATATTTAAATATATATTTTTTAAATTTTATATCTAAAAAAGATAAATCTTAGTATACATTTTAATAAGCACAATTTAAGACCAAAATAGAAATTTACCTTAAAGATACTAAGAACAAAAAAAAACGATCTACATTATGTATAAATGTGATGCATGCATTATTTTTAAGTAACTTAGTAATTCTTAAAAATTAAAATAAAAGTTTACCTTATTATATTGTAATATGGCTATTGGATGCAAGAAAAAAAATTATATATATATATATATATATATTATAAAGGATATTAATTAAAAATATTTTAGAAAATAAATTTAAAATAAATATGAATAAAAGATAAGAATATAACAAAAATATTTAGTATTAATACTAAGTTTTTTATAAAAAGAACTCCTATTTATTTTTAAGGCCATAAAAAAGGTAAAATAAGATAAATTAGAAAAAACAATACTACAAGAAACTTCAAATAATAGTACACAATATTTTTTGATAAACATTTATTAGAAAATTTTTAGATTGATATATAGAGAAGACCAATTGAGCATCATGGTTGAAATCAAATCCTACGACATAAAATCCCATGTCCATGGAAAATGTGAGATTTTTTTTTGTTGATCAAACAGTGAAATTTGAGGAGAAATGAGAGGGATGTTTTTAGGGCATTAATTTTGTGTAATTTAAATTTGTAATGACTTGTCAAGGACATGAACCTCAAAAAACTAAAATATCAGTATACTCTTGTGTTACTTGAAAAGACTAAAAAAATCACTCAAAGATGATATAGTATTAAACTAGAATGGCTATTGCCAAAGAGAAGAAGACTAGAAAGTCTTGAAACAAGACTAAAGACTAGAAAGGCAATGACAAGAGTGAAAAAAGCTTCACTCTTACCTCTTTATATGTTCTTAACTAGGAACTATGTCGTAATATCTTATAAAAC